AATCGTCGCTGATATAGAGACCTTGAAGGTTAAGTACGATGAAGAAGATTTGGCCTTGATTTCATTGTGTTTGTTGTCCGCTTCGTTTATGTCTTTAGAGATACGGTTTTATATAGCCGTAATATTCTCACCATTAAAGATGTGTATAATGCCTTATTCTCAATAGAGAAGATGAAACATTTTGTTGGATTTGAGGCTCATGAAAAAGGTCTTGTTGTTTATGGTAATTATGAAAGGGGCAAATCAAAGTCTGATTTCGATAATCAAGTTTTTTTTCACTGCAAGAAATGGTACGTCAAAAGAAATTGCAACAAGTTGCAGAAAAAAGAAATTTGGTTGCAAGTCAGAAGGGAAAGCAATCGGAAACTACGTGTGAAGCCAATGTTGCAGATAACTACTTGAGTAATGGAGAAATGTCCAAACGGCCAAACCTAACGAGGATTGGATTTTAGATACAACTTGTGTTTTTCATATGTGTCACAATTGGGATTTATTTTCAAACATATGAAACGGGTTCGACAAGTGTCGTGATTATGGGAAATAACAGCTTTGTAGGGTAAGTAGTATTAGTAGAGTCGGACTTAAACTGGTGGATAAGACAGTTAGAACACTTGATCAGGTTCGTTCCAGATTTGAAGAAAATCTCATCTCGTTTAGTACTTTTTATTCAAAAGAGTACAAGTTCTTTGGTGGAGGTAAAACTTTGAAGGTTTGCAAAGGTGTCCGTGTTGTATTGGAGGGGTAAAAAATGTCTCAGTTATACGTCTTGCAAAGTTGTGTAGAATCCGTAAAGAACAATCAGCACAGGTTTAGTTCCGTGGTGGATATTCAGTTTGGTACAATACCGTTGGGATTTGGTTTGAGATCCATGTTGAAGAATACAGCTCAGTCAAGTTCGGAAGATATGGCTAATACCGCTTTCCCACCACCTGCGATGCCATTTTATTCAATTGTTAGAAACAAACCCAGTGAAACTAGGTACGGGGATGTTGATTTGTTGCGCATGCTTTAAGTATATTTAAAGGTGTTACGTCTAGAAATGGGACTTCTACAAAAATATTTGGTGTAGATTCTGTTTCAGAGTGTGTTTCTACCATATTTGGTAAATTTTAAATCATTTATGATTTTTTATTGAACCCCGAGATAATTATGTGGAACATACTTGGATTCATTTATTCTAGTTAAATGTTATAAAAGAGGTGAAGAATTTTTGGTTCGTTAAAGAAGTTAGCTTGATTCTTGTTGAAGAGTTTAGTTCTTTCCTTGCAGTCGGATTTTGTCTCCGGTGGAGAAATTTTGGATCTTGGAATTTGTGTTAAAATGAAGATTGGTAAGTTTGTGACCTAAATTCGATTGATTTTTTTTAAGGAAATATTGTTTCCATTATTCCACCAGTTTTTTATTGGAAAAACATTATTTCCTTTATTCCACGCGTTGTTTATACTATTTCCATCTTTAAAAATATTTTTAGGGTTTTGATAGGTCCCCTATATATAATTGACTCTTCTTTACAATATGATTTATTACAGATTATAGAATAATTGTGAAAAACACAATTATTGCAATTCTTTATCCGTTATAATTGAATAAAATCTTCAATTCTCCGTACCAAATTAAATTCTTGTCTTTGTGTCCATCTGGTTGCTGTGATCAATATTTCATATCGTGCCTTATAACTTCGTTTCGCCCTAACACGTTTGGTTAATAAAACTAGCAGTCATTGACGGACTAACCAAAATGTGAACAGTAACTCCATTGAAACAAAATTTAAGTCTAATGAC